ACAGCTCATTGAATTGCAGTGTTAGGTATACTTACTGTGCTGGAATCCTATCTAGTTACCTGCTTGCTGGTGATGGAACTGCTTTTCCATGGGGCTAGAAAGGGTGGCAACTTCCCTTTGTTGTTGTGTGTCTTCAGGTCATTTTTGCATCAAGGCCATAAAACCTGGAAAGATTTGTTCAGAGGAGGTTTGCCGTTGCCTTCCCCTGAGGCTGAGAGGGTGTGACTTGCCCAAGGTCACCCAGTGGGTTTTATAGCTGGGAATCAAACCCTGGCCTCTAGAGTCAACACCTAAAACCACTATGCCATGGGGGCTCCCAGCAATTTGCCTTTTCTTGCATATTTTCAGAATTTTAGCTTGAAGGCTGGGGAACCAGATTTTTGGGTTTTGAGGACATGAGGATTGCATGTGAGAAAAGAAGTCATTTTGCATTAGTGGGTGTTGGCTTGGGTCTCAATGAATTTTCCCCTTGGTCCATACACTTTGGAAAACAGAATAGGTTTGGCCAAGGTGATTTCTCATTTGAAGAGAAACCTCGAAATAGAGAATGTCCTGGAGGATGGCTCATGAGAAAATGGCAATAGAAGTAAGGGGTTATATCATTGATGCTTATTTGTTGTTGTTGTGTTGCTTCAAGTTATATGGTACAGTTTTCTTGGCAAGATTTGTTCAGAGTGGGTTTGCCTTTGTCTTCCCCTGAGGCTGAGAGAATGTGACTTGTTCACTCCAACCACTGTACCACATGGTTCTCATTTATTTCTTGCCTATATATATTTCCAGGGCAGTATATCAGGAAATTAGAGCCAGCATGGCGTAGTGGTTTGAGTGCTGGACTATGACTTTGGAGAGCAGTGTTCAATGCCCAGCTGTGCTATGAAGCTCACTGGGTGACCTTGGGCAAGTCACATGCTCTCAGCCTCAGGAGAAGGCAATGGCAAATCCTCTGAAGAAACTTGCCAAGAAAATCCTGTGATAGGTTTGCCTTAGGGTTGCCCTAAGTTGGAAATGACTTGAAGGTACACAACATACATCACAAATCAGGGAAAGCTCACAAGTCTTGACAAGTGAAACCTGCAGCAAAATGTTGTAATATGAGGTGGTGATGTTTAGGGTCCCAGTAAATCAGACAACCGTACACTTCATTTCTTTCTGCCTTATTTTCCAATTTTTCATCCCACTCTCATCTCAGATACTCATTCTTCATAGCACTGAATGCTTATTCCCCCCTTTTTGGGGCTTGGGGTCCCTCAAGCTGGTGCTTCCTTTTTCTTTCATAGTTGCCCTGTTTTGTTGTTTTGTGCCAAGTCATTTCTGACTTATGGCAACCCTAAGGCCAACCTATCATAAGGTTTTCTTGGCAAGTTTCTTCAGAGGGTTTTTTCCATTGCCATCCTGAGGCTGAGAGAGTGTGACTTTCCCAAGGTCATCCAGTGGGTTTCCATGGCTAAGCTGGGATTCAAACCCTGGCTTCCTGTTTTCCAGTGCGGAAACCATTACATCACGCTGGCCTTTTGTGAGTACAGACATCAATATTTGACATTTGAATTTGCTGTTAGATGAGGCGATAATAAGACAGAGGTCCAAAACACACTGCAGAAATAATCCAGTTTGAGACTGCTTTAACTGTCTTGGCTCAATGCTAGTTGATTCTGGGAAATGTTGTATTGTGAGACATTTAGCCTTCTCTTACAGAGAGCTCTGCTGCCCCAATAAACTACAATTCCCTAGCACTGAGCCAGGGCAGTTAAGGCGGTCTCAAACTGGATTATTTCTACAGTGTGTTTTGGACCATGATGGATGACAATGTTACACCTTTATGTTGTATCATCTTAGAAACTATATTCTGTCTGATTTTACCATGAGTGTAGGAAATGCTTCAGAAAACTTAAAAGAGGCCTGTGACCTCACTGGAATAGAGACATATTGGATTGCAAAAGAAGGGTCCCTGTTGAAATGCAAATGGATTTTAAATTTCCTGGACTTTGCAAATCTCCCTATAGCCACAGGACCAGAAGGAGGAGGACCCTGCCTACAAAAGATATCCTCCCCACCATATACCATCTTAACTAAAGACTGAAACAACATGTAGGCATCTGACAACATCTCCAATTGATTTTTCTCCTGTTGGGCTTGTAACATCTTGCCTGATGAAGAAACCTATGGAGCTTTGAAAGCTTGCAACAAGTATATTGTGCATTTTGGTTGGTCAATAAAGGTATCACTGATGGATTTTGTTTGAATTTGCTAAATGGCCAGCACAGCTACTCCTGAATGGTTTGTGTTTGTAGTGAGGGTGTGTTTCCTTTTATTTAACTTATTTATAATCTCTCCCAAGAAGTAATCCTGGCCCTACCTCAGTTAAAATGGAAGAGAATGACTTCTCTGGCCACTTCTAGGCCACTGCACTGCAAGGATTTGAACCTGGATTTCCCATGTCTTATTCAGCTCAATTACTGACTTTTCAGATAAGTTACAAAAGATAGAAGGGATGCTGATTACTGTAGGAAACCCCCATCACTAATTCTGCTATACTATACTTGTTTGCTGAGAGTGTCTGAAATGAGCATTTGAATGGGAAAATGTATGAGAATAATAAAGAATGCTTAACGTTGATACGGAACATTCAGATTTCAAAACGAACCCTGTGAGATGTTAAATCCCTGTTCAGATATGGAGATTGTTGGATAACCTTGGATTGACTTATAGTGACCCTGAGGCAACCCTGTTGTGGTTTTCTGGGCAAGATTTGTATAGAGATGGGGTTTGCTACTGTCTTCCTCAGGGACTGAGAGAGTTTCACTTGCTCAAGGTCACCCAGTGGGTTTCCATGGCTGAGTGAGGATTCGAATCCTGGTCTCCAGGGTCCTTGTCCAATGCTCAAACCACTCCACTGCACTCTGTCTTCTAATTTGCAAAGTTTGTTGTGGAAGTAGAGATGTCAGGGTAGGGTCCATATGAAAGCTGCTTTGGGTTTCTTATAGAAAGGGAGGAATAACAAAGCAAATTAAAAATGTTTTGTTTAATATATATACTTCATATAATGCACATAACCAAATGTTCTAACAGTAAAGGAGGACAGTCAAGAAAAATGTAGGACATTACAAAATGAGAGCTGAAAACACTACTATGTGTTCAATGCCCAAAGCTGGTCCAAAGCTAACAAAATGAATTTCAACATGGAGAAATATAAGGTACTGCACTTAGGGCAAAAAAATGAAATGCATAGATATAAGATGGGGGACACCTGGCTTAATGAGACTACGTGTGAAAGGGATCTAGGAGTCCTAGTAGACCACAAGTTGAACATGAGTCAACAGTGTGTTGCCGTAGCTAAGAAGGCCAATACAGTTCTAGGCTGCATTAATAGAAGTATAGTATCTAGATAGGGGCTGGCAACCTACGGCCCCCGGGCCGGTTCCGGCCCAGGGCTCTGCGCTTACCAGCCCAGGCGGACCCCTGCTGCCGCCGCTGCCTGCTACCACCGGCGCGCATTTGCATCGCTGTGTGGCCGCGCACGCTGCGACCGCCATTTTGTTTTCCAAAATGGCGGCTGCGACGTGTTTGCGTATGTGCAGGAGTACTGCGCATGTGCGAACGCATCGTGGCCACCATTTTGAAGAACAAAATGGTGACTGCAACATGCGCAGAGGCGGCAGTGGTGGCGGGGGCGTCAGTGCGCGGGGGGGTCGCGCACATGTGCGCCACCATTCCCCCCCCCCAGGGCCCTCCGGAAGGGATGACTTTGGGGGATCGGCCCCTGGCTCAATAGGTTGCCTACCCCTGATCTAGATCAAGGGAAGTAATAGTGCCACTGTATTCTGCATTGGTCAGTCCCCACCTGGAATACTGTGTCCAGTTCTGGGCACCACAATTCAAAAAGGATGTGGAGAAACTGGAGCGTGTCCAGAGGAGGGCGACTAAAATGGTGAAGGGTCTGGAAACCATTCCCTATGAGGAACGACTTAGGGAACTGAGTATGTTTAGCCTGGAGAAGAGACGGTTAAGAGGGGATGTGATAACCTTCTTTAAATATTTGAAGGGATGTCATATTGAGGAGGGAGCTAGCTTGTTTTCTGCTGCTCCAGAGAAAAGGACCCGGGACAGTGGATGCAAACTAAAGGAAAAGAGATTCCACCTCAACATTAGGAGGAACTTCCTGACAGTGAGGGCTGTTTGACAGTGGAACACACTCCCTCGGAGAATAGTGGAGTCTCCTTCCTTGGAGGTCTTTAAAAGAGGCTAGATGGTCATCTGTTGGAGATGCTTTGATTTTGAGTTCCTGCATGGCAGGGGTTAGACTGGATGGCCCTTGTGGTCTCTTCCAACTCTATGATTCTGTGAAATACAAATTCATGTTTCTTTGACATGCACAAAATGGAGGGCATTTTGAAATTCCTCCTGGACAGAAGATTGAAATGTAGAACATGTCATGGAAAGGGAGGACATCTTGTCATCCTGGCCTGGTGTCATGGATGGTGGTGGTGGGGATGAGACTATAGATTGGAAAAGGCTGATCCCCTGTGCAATCTCACAGCTCAATATTCTGCTTTCTTCAGAGGCCTCATTGCCATATACAGATCTCTTGATTTAGATGCCACCAAAATGGCAGCACAGACTTTTAGTTGGTGGGACTGAATTCCAGTACTGTCAGAGCCTACCACCCTTAACAAATTTGCGAAAGCAGTCTTTTCAAAGAGCATTCCCTCTTGTTGCAGCTAACCATTATACAGGAAATTATAGTTGCCTTTGAGATCTTAAATACAGACTCAACAAAAGTTAATGCTGTAAGAGGAAGTTGCTAACTTAAGGTACTTTGTAAAGGCTCTTTTTGGGTTATGATGGATCTTTGTTGTCATTGTGTGCATTGAAGTTGTTTCTGACTTAAGGTGACCTTATGATGGGGTTTTCTTGGCAAGATTTGTTCAGAGGAGGTTTGCCATTGCCTTCCCCTGAGGCTGAGAGTGTGTGACTTGCTCAAGGTTGTTGTCCATTGGGTTTCGTGGCCAAGCTGGGAATCGAACCTTGGTTTCCAGAATCATAGTCTAACACTCAAACCACTATGCCATGTTGACTCTCTATGATGGGTCTACATTTAAGTGGGTGATCTGCAACCAAATGTTGCAGTGCCGAGTATTCTTGTTTCTGTCTCTCCCCTCCCAAACAAACAATAAACTTTTGGGCCCAATGAGTATCTTTGGTTTTCACTGGCTACTTGAGGAGTGAGTATCCACCAGATTGTATATTATAAAGAGTCTTTTGTATTTGTATTTCTGCAAAAATCGTGATTCCTCCAAAGCTGCAGGTAACTTCCTGGTGTGGATTGATGGTACTGTTGAGAACTGAAAACAGTTAATGCTTTTTGCAGAAGTCCATAGGATGGGAGTGTATGCAGGGGTAGAAAAATGTTTCTAAGTTGTAAGGCCAGCATCATATACTGACCTGGAACATGGTTCTTTTCTGGACCCCTGTGGATTATTTTGCATTGTGACAATGCAAATTTTATTTGGGCACAGACCCTTGCCCTGATTCCAAAGTACTGTGTTGATGGTGACATCATTACCTGTAATGTGTTGCATTCAAATTCTGAGAATAAGACTGTTAAAATCTGCTAGTCATCTTCCTGTGTACTATGATTTTATATACCAGTTGCTTGGAAACAACCCGCAGTAGGTCATTGCCCTCATGTCCTGTTTAGGGGTTTTCCAATAGTATCTGCTTGACCAGTGTGGGAAACAAGATAAGGATTACCTTTGCTTTTGTTTTGATCCAGTTGGGCTCTTCTTTGTTACATTTGGTGTGAAGTCTCCCTGTGTTCCAGCTTCTACTTTGCTTGGAAATGGAGAAGAGTAGAAAGTGTATCCATGCAGTCGCTCTAAAACTCTGAGTACCTCTGGAATATAGTGATGATGTTGAAGGCAACATCTCTTTATTCAAGGGATAGTCAGAAGTGAATGCAAAAAATGCAAGGTAAGATTTCTTGCATTACAAAAGCGAGTAGGACAGAATCTTATCTCAAAGAGCGAACAGGCAGAGGATAGAGATGGACGAGGTGAAGGGATTAAAATATATGAATTCCACCCCAAATCAAGGTATTTTAAAAAGAAATTTGTTCTGGGTGTCAATTTCCTCATAGCAATAGCAATAGCAGCTTTATTTATATACTGCTTCATACCGCGCTATGCAATCTCTAAGCGGTTTACACCTATAAGCTAATTGCCCCCATCAAGCTGGGTATTCATTTTAGTGACCTCGGAAGAATGCAAGCCTGAGTCGATCTTGAGCCCTGGGTGGTATTGAACTCACAACCTTGTGGTTTGTGAATGAGTGGCTGCAGTACAGATATTTAACCACTGCGCCACCAGGGCTCATCTAGGGCTTGACTACACTGGCCAAAAACTTCTGGCCTTACTCCATATTTGGTGCAAAGCATGCAGCGAATCTGCTTTTTTGAGATGTTAATTTGGTTTAACAAAAAATGCTGTTTACTCTGGAACCTGCATGTGAATCTGTTTATGCTGGGCATGACAACAGCTGGATGTGGTGGATCTAGGGGAACCCATATGTACACCCACCGCATTGTCCCTGCTAGCCTGTCCCGCTTGGTAATGGGGCTATAGCATCAGTGCAAACAGCTGTCTGTGAGAGCCTGGCTGTTGCTTCTACTGGGATCAGAATGGGTGTCCCACCATACGATCAGCAAGGATGGGGTTGCTCTATCCCTTCCTAGTTGATTGTATGGGGGCCCCATTTAGACCGTAGCAGAAGTGACTACGATGGCCCAGATTCTTACAGGGAGCTGTTGTCTGGCAAAGCTGCAGCAGCAGCACCAATAAGGACAGGCCATCGGGGATGATGGGGTGTCACCCAGAGGCCTATCTCAACACTTTACTTTTTTAAAATTAAATTCAGACAAATAAAACAAATATAGCAAACAGACATCCGAACTTATCTGAACATAACATTCAAACAAACAAACAAACACTTTTGACCAGCATCATGTGAACCCCTTGGCAGCTCGGGAGCATAATATTCTGGATTAAAGGGGGGGGGTCAGTGTAGATGCTCCTCCAGACGGTTTAATGAGAAGATAAAACTTTCACTTCAAAACTTTTCTGTTTGTGTGTGTGGGGGGAACAACAACAAAGGGAATAAATACAGATTTGCAAATACAGTGGATCCTTCACATTTGCTGGGGTTAGGGGCACAGGATCCCCACAAAAAGTGGAAAAATGCAAATAGAAATATTACTTCCCCCCCCCCCCCCCCCCCCCCCCAGAAAACACCTCTCTAGGTCAGCCAGTGCAATTTTGTGGTCAGGATCTGCCAGAGGTTGACTATGAAATTGTGCTGGAGGACCTACAAAAGCCTATAAAAGCATCCTCTCTAGTAATCTCTAGGTCCTCCAGCGTGACTTTTGGCTCAGGTTGACAATTGTCCTGCTGGAGGACCTAGAGATTCCTAGAGGGAACATATTAAATCTGTAAATAATGAAATCAGCAGAAGTCTTAGCATTAGTCAGTGTAACATCCAATCTTGATTTTTGTCCTTGGTTCATTGATTAAATTACTTATGTCCCTTTGTCTCCATTGGGTATCCAAAAGCTAGGACCAAGTGTTCATTCGAATACACAAACGTTACTTAATCACTCCAACCTTAATCTCCAGACAAATCTATGGAAGGATTTAATGGAAAAGGTGCTTTTAAATTGCAATTTGGCTAAGGAAAAAAAGGTAGGGTCTCTTTTGATCTCCCAGAATTCCTTTGCTGAAGTAATACAAAAGGGAATAGAATTGTTCAAAGAACAGTAAATCTTTGAAAAGAGTGGTATATAGTAGGTATGAATGGAAATCATTGGAAATGAAGGGCAGAAAGATGGTCTGGAGGCCTGGTAATGGAGAGGGCAGATGTGTTTTTGTTGGAGGAAGAAAGGAGTAAGTCATGGTGAAGATCTGAGGAGGGTTTAGCATTATTTGAGTGATGGAAGGTGCGTAATTTTGCATTGATATTGTGGACATCAATGGAGTGAGAAGCTGTAGCTGGGATAACAGGAGTTAATTGCCACAGTCAAGCTGAGTAATGTGTGTTTGAATGAATCAATGACATGGAGAGGAAAGGATGGATTTCCATAATGTGGTACAGAGAATCACAGTTATGCATTAACTAAAGGACATGAATTCTGGTAGGTCATATTTTTCACTGAGCATTATTAGTCTTCAAAACACTTGCCCATTTCCCATGGTAATTACAAGAGCTGGAGAAAAAACGCTGCAAGGCTTGGCCATCTACACACTGCAAATAAGATTTAATAGTACTTGTTGTTTGCCTTCAAGTCATTTCTGACTTATGATAACCCTAAGACAAAAAGCTATCATGGGTTTTTTGGGGGGCTGTGAGTGTGTGACTTCTCCAAGGTCACCAAATGGGTTTCCATGGCCAAATGGGGAATCAAACCCTGATCTCCAGAGTTATACTCCAGTACTAAAACTACTACACCACTCTGGCTGTCAATAGTACCTGTATCACTGGCATTATGCACCCTGTTTAAAACAGGTATTTTATGGGTCACAGTAAAGCTTCTCCTGAATAACCAAAGCTACTTCCTTAAGGAATTGTGGTTGTGTTGGAAGAAAGACAAACAAAAATCCCCAAATTATAAAATGACGGTTTCCAGCATTGCTTAGTAGACTGATTAAACTTAAAACTGGATGTGAAGAGGCTGAACAGCATAGGATGGAAATGCTTGAAGAAAGTATTCACATGTCACCTCTTTATCACACAACCACCTCCACTGCCACAGAGGACAATGAGGACATGTGCAGCCCTGGGGCTCTCATGCTGTTTTATGCAGCTCTTGTTCCCTACAGACTCTCTGGACTAACCTTGTTCTGGGCAAATAAAATAAAATAAGTGAATTGATTCCCCCAATAGCTTTTAGCATTGCCAACATTTAGTTGCGAGGGCCCCATGTGCTGAATCTCTCCCCCTCTAAGCCTTAGCTGAACCCCCCCTTTTTTTCCTTAGCCAAATTGCTATTTCTGTTTTTTGTGTTTTTCATTTGTTGACATTTTTGGTGCTGTTAAGAGTCTCCCAGAAGGTGCCAGGACAAAAACCTGGCCATGTGACCCATTTTGGTTGTGTGCCCCTGATTACACAAGTTTAGGGAGGTTTGATGGTTGAATCTGAACAACATTGTGTTGACATATGATCTCAGTAACATCCTGCTTGCAGCTAGATTACTATACTCTAGGTTTTTCTTTCAGTATATTTGTACCAGACTCCCAAATCCTTTCTCTCTGCATCTTTGTCTCCCCACCTAAGTGCATATATGCATGACAAACACACTAGATCATCCACTTCCAGGGATCTTCTTCTGGAAGATAGAAGGGTAACTTGTCATTGCCCTTGTTTCGCTTTCTGATGGCAGAACTCAGAATAAGCATTCCTTCATTGTGAAACTTCAGAGAGTGAGCTTTACATTAGACCCATGCCTCTGTTATTAGCTGCAAGTTGGTGTACTAACTTCCTGATAGCTTCCAAGGAAAAATTGACATGTTACAGAAGCATGTGTGATAACTTGCCCAAGCTTCCCCTCTAGGCTATCAAACCACCCCACCCTACCTTCTGTTAGAGGGTTCTGGAGGTTGAGAAATCCCTTGGCAGTTTAGCTCCTTTGAGTTATTTTCAGTCTTGAGAAGCAGAGAGGAAGAAGGAAATCTAAGTAAGGAATGCTGCCAGTGCCATTTCTTTGGAATATTTACTTGTTCCTCCCTTTGGGAGGAGTAGATTTCTGGAAGTAGTGGTCTGTTTTGCCAGTGGAAGCTCTTGGTGTTACATAGGAAAGCTATTTTGTGCAGAATCCTCCACACCCTTCCTATATCCATCCTTATGAGCTGGGGTCGATATATTGAAACACATTATATTCTCTGTAGCCATTGGAGAGGTGGTGTGATGGCTCATTGCTGGGGAGTCCTGGGAATTGTAGTTTGTTGTGGCACCAGAGCGCTCTCAGAGAGAAGGCTAAAAGCCTCTCAAAACTTCAATTTTCAGAATTCCCTAGCATTGAGCCCTGGCA